CGGCATCCTCCGTGTCGGCGGCGCTGCTGCTCGTCGTAGTTCCCTCCGGGTCATTTCCCGTGGGACTTGGGCCCGCCGATGAAGACGTTGGTGCGGCCAAAGCGGAGGATTCCACGTTACCACCGCCGCCGCTACTGCCACCACCGCTGTTTCCACCCTCGCGTTTGCGTTGCTCCTCCTTCAGTCGTTCGCTCTTACGCCATTTCGCCCGCCGATTTTGGAACCACACCTGCAAATTACGATTCGTCGCGGTTAGCATAGATTAAGCGTTACTTAAGCTTCGGAAAATCAATAATAGGAAGCGTAATTTTGATACAGAAGTTACTGTTTTATAAGTAAAGTTACGGAATTAAATTTTTTTTAATGGATCGAGGAATTCTTCTTGCGTGAAAAAAAATATATATACTGCTGATATTTAATTCGTTGATTTCTAACTCATTGTTAATTGATACGTAAATGTTATAAAAATGTTTTTAAATATCTGTGTTAACACTTAGTATCTCCTAACAATTTTTGTTCCACGTTTTTATTTCGTGCCTTTAATGTTTTATGTCTTTTTTATAATACAATTTTTGGATTATGCTAAATATGAATAAATATCATATAGCGATATACGTGCATCCAGGAAAGTTAAACTTCTCAAAAGCCAACTTCGCGGAAGTTTGCATAATTCTCTGATTCAATATTCTCGACATCTCAGTCATCTGACTATATACTGCACGCGCGCGGACGAGAAGGGTTAAGTCTCGCGAAAGTCGTAGAAACGGTGGGAGAGGTGGATGGATAGGAGAAAAATGAGAAGGACGCGGTCGTATCTACAGCACTCCGCAATGTCCGCAAATGTGCTAGAATAATTGCATGTGCGGGTAGGGAGGGGGGAGGGAGGAGGTGGCATTCTGAGGCAGAGAAAAGCACGAGGGTGCGGCAGGCTGGTTGGCGGATGCTGGGACGGGGATGGTTGGGAGGCCGGGGGGGGCACTTTCCGCCGTGCATGTTCAACGAGCCGACAGCAACCACGGCGACCGAGTGTTTTTTAAAAAGCTCGAGTTCCGCTAACGAGGCTAACTTGACATAATACCGGCTGAAATAGACTTTATTACACCCAGCGGTTCTCCACCGTTGACTTTTGTCTCGACAATGGATGTACAATAACCGGGTTCTCGTGCGGAATCCTCACTCGGTGCACATGCACGCCAACTAATAGTAAAACTCAGGATGTTTACTATCTAGGGAAACCTAGGAAAACTCAGGAAACGTGGAATTTTCAGGGATTTCTCTTTTACCTTTGAAAATCAAGAATTTTCATGCAATTTTATCGGAAATTTTTGAAATTTTACTTTAATTTAAATTCTATCTCTTTCTGAAAACATTGTTTCTTTTATCATTTTTTCTTAATAATATACAAAATGATAATCTCATTAGCAATAAATATGGCACACAAGTGCATATATTTACGTACATTCTCATAAGTCTCACGAATTTTTATAAAAAGATCGGGGTGATAAAACAATACATACACACACACACACACACACACACACACTTAAAAAAAATATAGCGATGACAACTATATATAAAGGTGACAATTACATAAGTTTTATATGTAGAAGTAATGTACATACTTGAATAAACTATTTTAGACTCGTAAAATAACTATAAAAATGTTTATTCAACTATGTATTAATTGTACATATAAAACTTGTATAGTTGTCTCCTTTATGCTGTCGTTATATCTTTTTTTCTGGCAATGAGTATAGCATAAGAGAATAATCTACTGATACTGCAGTAAGTTTTCTCTATACCTATCTTATAAGTTTAGCAGCTCTGTAATTGTAAAAAAGGATAGACAATTTCGTGAAAAAATTCCTGTCTTCTATTAATTTACAATGTATAGTTTACTTGCGTGTTGCGTTCCAATTGATTTCAAAATTACATTAAAAAATTCTCTAATTTGAGCTGGAGTTTTAAATAGAAATATCTAGAAAATCCGAGAAAGTTTTTTTACAAGATTTCATTATCATTTCAAGCACCCTGTAAAACGTAATCGGAGCTATTTGTTTGTAGAATGTGAAGTAGTTGATCAGAAAAAATCATAGAAAACATTCGATGCATCATTTATAATAGTGCTATATCACTTTTTAGTGATATTGTATTGAAAAATGTATTAGCATAAATTTCATCGGATTTGCCTGATTTTTGAGGAAAAAAGTTTTGAAAAGAAAATATTGTACGCAAATATATATATATACTCAACTATAAAGCACCCTCAATTTATTACATTTTCTTGGAATAGACGATAATAAAAGGTAAAAAAGATTAACAAAATATTAAAATAGTTATATTATAAAAATAAATTTCTTTTTCAATAAAACTGTTTTTTAATTTATATTTTTGTTATAAAACGTTTACGTTAATTTGTGTCTTATATTTATGGCCAAGGTTGTATTAAATTGTGAAAAAAGAACAGACTCCACAAAAAAAATTTCACAAAAAATCCTTAATAAAAAGAGCTGGAATTAATAGAATTGGTATATCCTATTCTGTATGTGTGTGTGTAATGGGTCTGAAAAATGATTATCTTACATTCGAGCGCGGAACTTTCGCAGGAGGAAGCACGGGAAATGGTTTAATAAAATAAATACGATGGGTACGACTCTCTCTACCGCCACCTCGAACATCGCGAGAGGATGGAGGAGGGGCGATAGACGGGGAGATATAATAATATCCTAAGGGTTACAGGAGGGGGCGACGGAGGACGAGTAATAGCTGGGAACAAAGCCACGGTTTCGTATAGGGACCACCATCGCCGTTTTCCTTTGCACCCTTGCGCGATACATCTCTCTCCTCTCCACTTTTTTTTCCAATACAAATTTAATCTGAAATTCGTTGATAATGGGCGTAAAACGTTTTTAATCGGCTGCACCCCCTTGTTAAACGAATGTGTCGCTCTTTGTCGCGGGATTACTGATCGCACGTATCACGTGCGACATGCTTTTTAAAACGCTGCGTGACAACGATAACTACTGATTAATTCACGAAAAGCTGTTTTTTCCAACAGCCCGTAAATTGAAAAATGTCCACTTTCAATAAATCCACGTTTATAGAAATTTTCCGCTCGTTTCTCAATTTCCAACTCAATTTGTGGATTCAAATATTTTTTATCAAAACTGTCGCGGAGATAGAGATACTAATATTTCATACTGACGAGAGCTACTTTTCTCGAAGTTCATGGTACCGTGAAAATTTTTCTTCATTTTACAACTCCAAAGGAGCGCGGACAACTACGTGAAGAGAAGAGAAGAGCTCCGCGAAATCCAATCACCGAAAATAGAAGAGAGTCAACGTAATCGCGGTGTCCAGTGTCCATGCACGTCCAGAGCGCGTCGCACGAGCGCAGGTGCGAGTGGCGTTTGATGCGGCGCGACGCGTCTAATTCACGCACGCCGGTAATTGTCGGCCTCGCACACGCACGCATATCCGTGTGTAAGCGTTATACGAGCGTACGTACAAGCGTTGTGTGCGAGAAAATATACGCCCGCTCGCGCCGACGTGAGGACGTCGTACGGTACGTGCCTTGGCGATACAACCGACCCTCCTTCAACTCCCTCCCGCCCGTCCCACCCCTCTAGGAGGTTCTAATTGGAGCCTGGAGAAGAGGACGGGCGCTACATAAACGCGCCTATTTGTCCATTATTCCAGATTCTCTTTGTCTTCGCTAATGAAACAATGAGTCTGCGCCGTAATTGCGTCACAGTCAGACCAACCGCCTCGCCCCCTCTGTTCTTCGCCGCCTCGCGTCACCCCTCTGTCTCTTTCATCGTCATGTGTACACTGTCGTATCTCTCTCTCTCTCTCTCGTAAAGATTGCAGCCTCCTTGTAAATCCGCACAATGCACGCCAGGCTGCCTCTTAGACTTTGTGTGATCGAGGATCCTTCGTGAGTCAGGATATTAATGATGAGAGGCCGGGCGAAGCGCCGAGATTTATTTGGATTTGTCGGGGCACGAGCTATATTTTACTAATAATTATTTAAAAAATAAAAATACTGATTATTTTTTTTTATAAATTTTATAATAAATTTTTTTTACTAAGACACAAAATGAATAAAATAAACAAAATTTTGTTCATTTTATATCAATTAAATTATAATATGTCATACTTATATAGTAGATCACGACAGAATTAAATATAAACTATTTAGTATTATCATTTTTATGTACACTTTTCAGATGTTTACAGATTGCTGAAGGAATGGTCAGAATGATTGATAAATTAAAAAAAGTCGGGATTAGCGATTTCTTCAATGGAATAAAATACCTTTAAATAAAACGAAAAACAAAGGATCATGTACTCGTAAGTTATAAATAGAATTTTTTATGTTAAATGTTGTATTGAATAATCTTCAACAATAATTTTACGAGTTCTACCTGAGTTTCATGTATCTATGAATGATAGACGTTTTCTTCTTTTTCCAGGAAACTTGTATTGTTGACATCATAATACACTATTATTAAACAATTTATCAAGTACTAAAAAATATAATAAATAATAATTAATTATTTTAAAAAATATTGCGTGTAATAATCATAGTAGTAAATTGATTTAATAATGCTATAATTGTTAGATTATCAAAACAATTATATAGAACGCTCAAGTTGGTTACTAGAATGTCAGAACTTTTTGCAGCATTGCTCATTATGCTTCAATTTCTTAATTATTTTGATGATTCAACAAAAAATATTTTCACATCTATTTCTATACTCAAATTAGATATATTTACCTAAATAGATATTTCGGTAAAATCGTTTTTTTCCGTGTGATTATCGAGGAAATTGCGAAAGGCGCTGTCAAAACGTATCATTTGAAATTCAACGGAGATGCAGGTTGACGTCTGCCGAGAAATCAAAAGCCGCCATTGGTAATCAGATATCCTCTGCAGATGTTCCGACAGGATTTTAGGCTGGAATCGTTGTTACGCTGCAGGGATTCTCAGCACGAATTACAACGGCGTGAGTAAATATGGCCGTGAGGACGTAGCCTGCAGGAGTACAAAGTAATCCCGGAGATTACCGGCTTACTCTGTCAGAAGATTACGTCAGGTCGAGGGTGTCAGCGCGCCTCTTGGGGGTCCTGCAGGGGCCTCCGCCCCCACCCCCGCCCTCCCGATTCGCCCCTCTGGTATACATACGCTTTCGCTCTTGCGGCAACACCGTACGGCCGCAGACAATCGATCATAGTTACGGTCTTTTACAGATTTTCTTTTCAATTTTCAAATCTGCAGTTATTGAATCTAAAATATATATTTTCATCCTGACTAAATTTCGCGCGTTCCCGCATCTATGTCGCGTATACATCATGTATACATACATCATACATAAAATATATGGCGCGTTATTTTTCGTATGATAAATTATAAATATGGCAATTTTTTTAAATCCGGGAGTGGCAAAGGACAAAAATCGATTAAAAAAAAAATTGTCGAAATTCCGCTTTGGATTGCAGAAATTCGGTTACGCATATTTTTTTCGCGATATAATCATTTGGATACTAATGGATACGTAGGCGGGTAATACATTCTATTGTGTGTTCCATGAAATATTACAGCAAAAACATGCAGCGCGAAAAATGTTCTCGGAATTTCTCTACTTAACGCTACGAAGGCAGACAAAAAATTATCGGGTTGCCGCGCGTAATTTTCTCATCGCATTAAAACGCGGAATCCAATCTCAATGCGCTGAGACGCATTAAAAGATTAAGCTCGCTGCTGCCAATGCTCGGACGTGAGCATGCGAACATTCTGTGAAGTTTTAATGCACGTGCTTTCATGTTATCGAATAAACGTGATTATACAACGTGATTAGCATACTTTTAAGTAACCTGTTTTAATATATCCTTAAATATAATGTACACAGTGCTTCTGCCATGAATTTGTTCATCTTCCTTATTCTAATGGAGCTTTTTTGTAATTTAATCGGATTACGGACATTATTATGTTATATGCGGCAAGATACTTTACGAGAACTGACAAAATAAAAGTGAACAAAAAGTAAATAATTATGTTAATAATAATTCAGCAACACACACGGCTACTTTTTAGTATACTTGAAATGTCATAATCTGAAAAAAAGTCTAATCAGGTTGTAGGATTGCGAAACTTAAGGGATATACCAATTGCGCTATCTTTATATTAATTCTTTCCGTTGATAACGATTTAAGTTACAATCCAAAATATACACGAATTTTGAACATTGTTTTTTTGAGACTGATATAATCAATTATTAAATTATTATATAAAAAGATTTGCGTACTAATTAACGTTCTGGCTTCCATTACCGGTTTTTACTTTTCTTTTAATTTGGAACACTAGTAGTCCTTATATTTATCTTATTTATTATTAAGAAATGTAGTTATGAGGACAAATGGATTAGGATTGAAAAATTCAATGATGAAAAGAAAGATCTCCGCGAGTGTTATTGTTACACTCACCTGCACTCTAGCCTCCGTGAGATTAATTTTCATGGCCAGATCTTCCCTCGTAAAGACGTCCGGGTAATGAGTTTGCGCAAAGGCGGACTCGAGTTCCTCCAGTTGCTGAAGGGTGAAAGTTGTCCTGTTTCGACGCTGCTTCCTCCGCACGAAGGAATCCTCGCCAACTCCGTGCAGCGCTGGGTGATAGGCGGAGTAACTAGTATCTGTAACGAGCAATCCGGGAGGAATTGTTAAATTTTTAGAATATCGCAGTAATTCTTAATATAATGATAATTCGCGCAAATTTTATTTTGTAAAACTCTAAACGCAAAGAACTATTGTCGATAACACAAGTCATAATAAATAACGAATCGAATGATAATAAATAAATGATATAATACTATAATAATACTATAATAATAATAATAATAGGTATTAACATTCAATTGAATATAAAAAAATATGTCGAATTAATTTTTATTAATTTAATTATATAATACGTTTTTGTAATTAATATTGATAATATATGTTGTGTCAATGTAAAGAAAATATTTTTCTTTTAAAGGGACGAGTTCGACAAAGTTTCACCTTTTAATTCTTGATAGATTCGAATTTGCGAAGTTCCAAGAGAACTTAGTTCGGTACTCCGCATATTTGCCTGTGCTTGACTAGGGTTTGCGAAACTCGGAAACTTCAAGAAACTTGTGAGTTACTGACAATCTCGCGGAATTTTCAAATTTATACGGCAAGCGTTATTGCAAAATAAAATGATCAACATAATTCCTCGCTTTTTCACGGTAGCTTAAATTAGTGCTTATCAGTGTAAATAAGTTGTATCAGATTTTATATAAAATAAGAGTAGTAAACATAGATGCGTGCTCACTTATATTCGTTTACTTAATTCGATTTAATTGAATTTAATTTAGCAAGTGTAATAATTAACTTCTTCGTATCGAGAAATATATCTTCTTTATTATGACTTTCTATCTTTTGGAATTAATAATATAATTTTCTACGAATTCAAGAATGGGAAGTTCCAAGTAAACCTGAAAATCCAGGTTAAAAATATATAGGGCGGCTTACCTTACCATCATATTCAGATAGTCACATCTATTTTCATTTAAACAATTTTTCTCATTTTGTAAACTGTCTTAATCATTTCAAATGTATTTTATATTAAACTTAAATTAATAAATTATTGTTTACTGCATCATTATTTTAAATGTAACTAGAAAATAAAAAATTACACAAAAAATAAAATAAGGTCCCTCAATATATTTAAATACTTCAGCAAAAAAGTTTATAAGTATTGTCATTGATACTCGATTCAATATTTCAGAACAGAAACTGATTATTAATGTATAGTTATATTGTTTTTCTGTTGTATTTCGGTACGATCGCAGTATGCACATTTTATTTCGCCACTGCAATTATACGAGCAGACAGAGCATGTTAATTAAAAATATTGAGTAAAACGTGGTTAACTGTGATCGCGCGCGCACACGAAGGATCGAAAAGTGAAGCGCCGATATAAAGGCATTGGTCGGATACGCGTGCATACAACGAGACGCGAAGTGGGAGCAGACGTTACGAAGCGGCCGGAACCGCTCATCAATGATGCAGAGCAATCAGCGCAATTAATTACCGCGGCGCTAAGCCGGGGCTTAGCGAAAAACACAAATTAATTTCCTAAGCTCATAAAAATTCATGCCACTCTCTCTCCGCCGTCCGGCCGTCTCTCTTTCACCCGCGCACAATGTCTCCTCTTCTTCCTCTCTTTTACTCTCTTCCCTTTATCCTGCCTCTCTTTCTCTTTCGCTCTTTCTCTCCCTTTCATCCTCTCGACACAGAGGATAATAACGGCGACAGAAAGAGAGAGAAAGGGAGGAAGGGAAGGTAAGCGAGATAGAGTTAACGAACGCTTGATGGTGTTGCACCATCAACGATGCAGCCACATGGTTGCATCCACAGGCGCGCATCGGGATACTTCGCCTCGATGCCGCTGAACTTTCATAACTGTCACGGACGTGCAATTATACGCTACGGTCGCTGCGATCTCCCGTATCGTTTGCAAAATTAATATCAATGAGAATCCGCGAGGATTTTCGCTCTAAACCAACCCACGCGAAAATAAACGATTCGAGCTTTCCGGACCGCCGGTATTTTATCAGGGCGTTTAACGACGTTGCGGACTTGTGGATGCACTTAAAACTTTGTTTCCGTTCGTGCTCCCGCCTGCACGATTATCGTACCGATACGGATTTAGTTTAATAGATACCCGAATGATATTGTGATTGTTTTTCGCATAGCCATCCGGAAAATTACTGTAGATCCAACTAAGAAGCGACTATGTATAAGCGATTATATATATCTTTTCATCCGATAATATAATTGAACGGTTTTTCGCAAAAACCAAACAATTCTAAAATGTTAAATTTTCATGTAACAAAAAATTTTTATCTTCAAACCGTTTATTATGTATATAAATATGGTAATTTTTCTCCGAATATAGAAATTGATATAAGAACAAAGTTTTAAATTTTGATTATGTAATATTTTGAGAATCATAGGATTTAAAAAGAAAAAGAAAAAAATTCTGAATTTTTTTATTCTTGTGGAAAATTTTACTATTTACTTCATAATACATGATAAAGAACATTATATATTTGTGTTGGAAACTCACGTTTCTGTTAACTGTTTGTGTTGAATTTTTTAACATATTCGAGTGTTAATTTAACATAACGTGATTATGTCATTTAAATTTTTGTATTAAATTGATATTCAACATTTTTTAATGTCAAAATGACACAATTTATGAATGAAAAATAATGTATTTTAAAACGTAAATTCTAAGATGAATAAATGAAATACGTATTAATTTAACATGTCATAAATGTTAGTTATACTAAAAAAATATACTCCTACAGGTTGTTTATAAACTGTGTCAGCATTATCTTTTCCTTGATCATTCTTTTACGTAATATTTGTGTTGTTTTCTAACATAGGTATTTATTTTATATTAAATAACACAAAAATTGGAGTGGACCATTTGGGACATGTAAAATGTGTTATATTCGACACAAATTTTCCAACAGTATGTGTTACACGTATTTTTTAATAATATTAATAATTAATAATCCATACAGCAAATATAACTCATACCTTCAATGGATGCCCCAAAGACGTTCTAAAGACGTCCACAGAACATCCCTGAAAGGTTTAAGAACATCCTAAGGATTTCTTTCGAATAAAATGTACTGTAGGAATGATAAAAACGAAGAAAGAAATACTATTTAAAGTACAAAGCAATTATTGTTTTACTTATTACTTACAAAATTTTACAAATTGCTCCTAACAGAAACATCCTTTGCATGTGTTACTCAATCTTATATTTCCCATTCGATTTTTGTCAGAATAAAATTGATCACTATATGGCAGAGAACGATTTGATCCGTAATCCAGATTTTTTTTAACGGATTTATTCAGGTTTTGTGGGAAAGCTTTGTGGGAGCCCATCAATTTATCGGCACATTTTGCGCACATGTCGAATCTTTTAAACATTATTCAATTTTAGAAGATAGAAGAGAAATTTCATGCCTAAAGTCAAATTAATGAACCACGAAGCTGTACAGTGATCCTGCGAAATACACCATGATAAAATACACCGTAAAAATTCTTGATCCCTATTCTTGTCATATCGACAAGCAACGACTGTCATTGTTGCTGTGGCTGCAGAGTAAAACGAAGATAGAGAAGTGAATCGGGCGTCGACCGCGGCGGCTAAATAAATTTGCCGATGCCCCAAACTGAAATCCACTCAAGATCTTAGATTAGAGTCGGTCCGAAGTAAAGCCCGGATCCAGACAACTCGTACAACTCATCGGGAGTCGGTCTGATCCAATTTATTAGTAGCATCCCGGGTACGGAAGAGAGAGAAAGAGAGAGAGAGAGAGGGAAGAAGACCTGGCGACTTTTGCGCTTGGGATTCACGTGCATCTCCTTTTCGCGACACACTTTGTCGTTTTGTTGACGTTTGTTTGCCTGCAGAAAACGCGAAGGGAGACGATCAATTTTTCGCGCATGGAAAGCATGGAACATCATTCATTCACGCGTGTTTCTTACGAGAAGTAGCATCGCGTATCTTTTCTGAATAGGATTTAATATATTTTTAATGTAGAAATCATTGCCTGAAATTGGATTTTGTTCTTTTATGCGTACGGCTTTTACCTTTTGATTTGTTTAAATCTGTTGTATAATATTATGGCATGGATATCGGCACATAAAATCAAATTTTTTATAAATTAATTTAAAATATAAAAGAAATTTAATATGAAATGATAAATCAAAAAACAAAAAGTATTCTTTGTGTAGAGCCTTGTTTTCGAGAAAAGATCGAATTAGACTCAAATTGATATAAAATAGCTGCGATTTTACTTGCTCTATCTTTGACTTAACGTTTTCACATACATAGACGTGCTGACGAGCGACTCAAAATTATTCCAAACGCGCGTCACGATCCTCCATGATCGTCCGTATCCGTTGCACTTGCGAACTGCAGGTTCCAAAGGCAGCCCAAGAGAAGGGAGGGACAGTGGTGGACCCGTGGAAAAACTACACGTAGAGAACGAAATCTAATGACACCCCGACCGTTACTAATGACGCTAACGAGGTAGTTAGATGTTAGAGCGAATGTCGGTGGGTCTGGACCGTGGGCCGAGGGAACCCACTTACCGACTTATCACGTAGTTACCTAATCTGTTTATCCCAACGGGGGGTAGAGGAGGCCGAGAGAGAGAGAGAGAGAGAGAGAGAGAGAGAGAGAGAGAGAGAGAGAGAAAGAGCCAGCGGGGACCGGGGCAGACAGACGTGGGGAGCAATCGGGAGCTGGAAGGGTGCCCGGACGTCCCTGAGGACACCATTCCCCTAGACCCCTCCCCCCGTCTACCTCGACTCCCTGTTCGATCATCTACCAGAGTGTGAAAGAGAAACAGAGACAGAGACAAAGATCGCTGCTTCTCACATTTATGAGCCTCAATAGGTATTTTAAAGAGAATATAAAGAACAACGGGAAGCTACACTTCTCACGCGCGCACGTTGTTGGATTTATTCGTGACGATTTGAATGAAGGGCGGAATAAATAGTAATAATTTTTGGGATATTATACATGTACATATACATCACATATATACATATAAAAAGTAAATTAAAAAATTGTAGGGGGGTTAAACCCCTCCTCTTGGATTCGTCCATGACTACGAATATTATTAAATCCGATTGATGATAGCATGTAAATGTAGTCTTTATCAAATTTTATCAAATGTCGAAGAGAATAATAAATAAAAAATCTTTTCTCTCTCTTAATATTACATTATAATAATCCAAATCTTTGATAACATGTAGCACTATTTTAATCAAAATTACAAATCGTTCCGTACATTTTAAAAACCGCTGATATTATTTTCGTTGTAATTGAAAAAGGATAGGAAATTTTCAAAATCAAATGAATATTTTTCTTTCCGGAAAAATCTAGTATTCACAAAATAAAATCTTGCGATCCTAATTCGATAACGATAAATCGCCGTAACCGGATACGTTAGGAGAACAGGCTGATTGTCGCGGCTTGACAGATCACGCCAGGCTGAAATTCATCTGGAATGGGACGCGACTTGGAAAACGATCAGTGAATAGGCAAACTGCCGTCAAAGTTCTGGATAGCGACTCGGCTCGACTGCCGGCGGGACGCGGTTTAACTGGAAGTTGGCTCGAAGTGCAAATTAAGTTTAGCGGCCGTCCAGTTTGTAGCGTCCACTTTGCGTAACTCGGTCTAGTCGGTAATGTAACTTCATCGATGTGTTCCGCTAGAGCAAGTGTCAGTACAATCAGTCTGTCCCCCTCA